CTGTCAGCGTCGTCGATGCGTGAGAGACGGAATCCAACTCCTGCAGTTGCGGTACGGAGTGATACGGGCATCGCCGAATGTGACGGATTCTTTGGCGTTACGACCGCTGGTTAGAATAACGGACAAATATGCAAGAACATCGCTAAAAAGGGCCAAAACACGAGCACATGACGACATTTTCTTCCACATCGTAACGTCAGTCCGTGCACTGCAGCGGCAATTCTAACACCGCCAGTCTGGCAGCGACTAACGTCATAAAGACGGTCCATGGCGTAATCAGGTGGTGAAAAATTGAGCATCACATTTATCAAATAGTGAAATTGTGTCGCCAGAACAATCTTTAACACTTAAAGAATCGAAAGTTACAAGTGAGCTTATTTGATGATATATCGTGCTTGCCTCAACATCTTCAAATGTGGAACATCCCATTTAAAGCTTACGAATAGCATAGGTTCATTGTCACCAGACATCAATTACTCTGAACTCAATTACATTCCTGAGTGTTGCAAATGGAACTGCAGGCGGTACTATCAGGCAGGTATCATATGGCTTTCATTTGCACTACTGGACAAGCGATAAGCCAAGAAGCCTTCTTACAACAGGCGCGATTTAAAGCGACTCCTTCTCACCATATATACTCACGTAAATTTAACATTAGATACAGGTAGGCTGACAAAGTACAGCTTTACATGCATGTGCTTCATGAGCATATTTCGAGACTAACGCTAATCTAACGAGACTAATTATATCAAAGATGCAAACCCACAATGTGGCATAAGTAACCAAAAACACACTCAGCGTCCATGCATTGCTTCTGCCATATTTCACCAGGACGACTTCACTTTGCAGGCTTTAAAAAACGAAAACACGAGTGTGGGAAAACGTTGAACCTCGCCCTACAAGAGCGAGGTTTTCGCCCTAAAAGGGCGAGGCTCTTGCGCTTAAGAGTCTCCCACGACCGTTTTCTGGAATAGTTTCAGAACTGCTCGACGCACGATGCTGAATTCTCGGCAGCTTAGTCGACACCCTTTTACACGTGATTTATCATCCTCCTCATCCGCATGGTACTGTTGTTGGGTGGGCCATCCGTCACACAGCGGCGTATCTGATCTTACGGCTTCCAGGAACAATGATGATTGGTCATAGGAAGGGGTTGTCTGCGTTTTCCTTAGATTCGTCTATCAAAACTTCATGTACAGAATCCGTTTCTCATCGTGTTCGAAACACCTATAAATCCTCGGGTATGTAGACCTTTTCCTCTTTTTCAAACTTGTTTGGAAAACACACCATGTCAGGTGCCCTCTTTGACACACAAATGGACTAACGTAGAGTTATGGCTACCAACTCTGTGACAGGACCACAAGACAAAAAGGCCTGTTTGCTCTGCATGCATTTTCGGCACCGACCAC